TTTAGAAAGCTAAATGGATTTAAATTCAGGAGCTTGGCGTTTACCCGCGGGCTTATAAAATGCAATACATACAAAATAACAGAAACAAATTTACAATGACGCCAGATACACAATGACGTAAAATTAAGTGTACTCAAAAAACTTACAGCAGTAATGTTTAGGAAGAAATTTTGTGGTTGAATGGATAAAATTCTTAGGGAGTTTGGATGTGAAAAAATAGAAAAAGTTTTGCAGGGCTGCTCAAAAGAATCAGCGTAGGACGTATGAAGAAATCAAAGGAGGAAATCAGAGCAAGTGCTGGTTACGCTCAGGCTCGAAAAGAACTGGTTGTGCTTGTTACGCAAGACCGAGGTTACCTTTATACCGATTCTGGGCTCATAACCGATGAAGGTATATGACCTTGCAGGAGCGAGAAAGAGAGAGAGAGAGAGAGAGAGAGAGAGAGAGAGAGAACGAGTGTTAGGTATAAGTTTCAATTCTCTTTTTTTTAAGGGGTAATCAGAAAGTCAAAAGTATCACAGTAACCGAGGTTACAGTCAGGAGTCCCTTCATCACGTATTCCAGTCAAAATCCTTGGAAATTTCTAGATATGGAAGTGATAATGATGAAGATGACAAGTGTTTAAGTCCTTTTCAATTAAAATCGATACGCGAGAAAATATAATATACTACAAGTGTTACAAGTAAAAATTTTAGTCGAAAGTTATTTTGTCATTTATTGTTCGGAGTACGCAAGCGGCGTTCGCAATCTGTCTTGCCAGGAAGATTCTCTGTTTTAAAAAGCTGCCTGCACTGGGTTCGTCGGTGCATATGCTTAGGTTCTTACAAAGCTTGCTCAAAAAAAATTCTGTGCTGGGGCCGGCCGCGCTGTAAATTTCAAAAGCTAGCGGTTGAAAAAGATATCCATCATTTACAAGATCTTAATACTTGTCAATTTTTCGCTCTTCCGCTTCAGCGGCAGCCGTACCAGGGTTACAAATAGACCCGGCATTAATCCTACAAGGAGGTAAGGAGTCTACTACCAATACATCCCACAAGAGCTGCTTACGAACAGCCCATGGAACGAGCGTCAAACCGTCTGGTCGCTTCTGATCGGTCCTGTAGAGGTGTCGTGGTTCTAAAACAGACAGAATGTGAGTAGATGATAAATTCTGCTTTATAAGGGCATTCAGGTTTGAATGCCTAGAGAATCTCCCTGCCTTTTTGAGGCAAGAAAGAACATGCCAACCATCCCCGGTAACGTCTTTTCCGCACACGCATTTATGCCGTTCGCATATTTTTGAGCCTAATCGAGGTCCTATCGCAATTCTGAGTTGTTGGTTCGACAGTTTTAACCTTAAATTTTTGCACGAGATGACGTTCAACCATTGGGAGCCAAATCTATCTTGGAACGCGTTGAATCTTTTTACGTCCGTTGGTTCGAGTCGCAAAATCAGGTCTGCAATTTCGCTGTCAAAAATTGGCTCCGTCCAATTTTTTTGGATTTCATATTCCGGAGCCATTTCAGTTTTTCCAAGATCAAACCACCGTTTAAGCGCATCATCATAGGTTCCATCCGCATGCTCCAAACCAAAGATTTCGCTCAAGGCATCTTTCGCTCCTACTGCTGAGGCTAAGAAAGCGGGTAAAGCGAGTAGTCGAGCAGAAGAAACGCCCTAGCCACCTTTGGCTGCCGGGAGAACTGCTTTTAGAAACTGATTATCATCCATTTTCACGTTAGTGACCTTGCGTAACGAATTTCTTAGTAATTTATCGTAGCGCTCCAAAAAATCATTTTGCAAAAAACAAGGGCTCGTACGCAAAAAATATAGGAGTTTTGGCATGCTAAAGCAATTTTTCAGGAGGTAAAAACCATAATGGGCGTCTAGTTTGGCAATGACATCCGAGATTTTTTCAAGCTCCTTAATTTTTTCGTCGAGCATTTCTTTACGGCAAAGTTCGCCGATTGGAGATCCTAAAATGAGGAGTTCCTCTTTTGTTTTTATTTTTATTTTGGGGCTTATTTTTCGAAATTGTGTTAAAATTGAATTATACTGTTTACTAGTAGGCGGTCCCAAAAAACAAAATTCGCACTTCTCACTGTTCAAGCTCAGGCCGTAAATTTGTTCCAATTTCAGAATGTTTTTAAGGTCCCGGATTACTACCTTATAGTCGTCGGCTAAATTCCCATCATCTAAATACCAGATGTTAATTTTCGACTCCAACTGTTTGACTAGTGTATGAATTGTTTCCGCAAAAAGGGGTGGGGCTTCAGGATCACCTTGCTGAGTTCCGTCTTCTGACATTATGACAAAGCTTCCGTAAAAAAGGTAAATAGGGTTACCATACGCGCAATGGGTGTAATTATACAATTCGGGGCGATTTGAATAAACATGATTCAGTTTATTCATAAACAGTTTCAATTCTGGTATGAGAGTTGAAAGTCAGTGTCTGAATGTCAGCGTCTGTATTGTTTCAGCAAAAGCGGTGGAGCCTCGGGATCATTTTGTTGTGATCCGTCCTCCGACACCTAATGGTGGAATTTTCGTAAAAAAGATAACTCGGCTTACTGTAGGCGCACTAAGTATATTTGAACAACTCCATAAACTCTTCAATTAAATTCTTAAATTTAAATTCTTAAATTTCTTAAATTATTCTTAAGTTCTTCAATAGAAACTGAACCGTTTATCCCGTACTGCTACAGTAACGTGAACGAAATTATCCGACAATGGTACGAATGGCTGTGGGAAAAAATCGAAAAATTTGTACCTAGAATAACTGAGCATCGATCAAGGTTACAACCCTGGATCACGCCAGCCACCTCCCACCTCATCAAAAAACTTCAAACAATGAAAAGAAAACCAAAACAAGGTCTCGAAAGACTATTAAAGATCAAAAAACTTGAAAAAGATATTCAAAGGTTTTCCGAAGATGACATAGCGGAATATGAAAAAACCGTCCTAGAAGGAAGAACTTTCAGCAAAATTCAAAAATACCTTAAATGCATACGCAAGATCCCAACAATTCCTTCGACGGTCAAATACGGAAACACTGAATCATCAAATGAAAGAGAAAAAAGTGAATTATTCAATGACTATTTCGTCAGCGTGTTTGGCACAAAAGAACATCAAACCGGTATCCTCTTTCCAAAAAGTGAGCTGAATAGATTTATTGTTAACCAAAGTCAAGTTAGCGAAATAATGAGGCAACTTAATGTCAATAAATCAATGGGACACGACAACATTGGCAATCTCATTTTGAAATCATGTCACAAAACTCTATGCAAATCACTTACCCTTATATTTCAAACCTGCCTCAACAAAGGAATTTTTCCTGAAATATGTAAAATTAGTGAAGTGACCCCTGTTTTCAAGGAAGGAAGTTAAACCGATGTCAGTTGCTATAGACCAATCAGCCTAGTCTGCTGCTGCTCAAAATTGATTGAAAAAATAATATTTGACAAATTCTATACTAAAGTGAAATACAGATTACATGAAAGTCAACATGGATTTCGAAAGCGTAGATCCGCCACAATTCAACTTCTTCTATTTCTTGACCGAATATACGAATTGAACGATCAACAGGATGTACAAGAACTTGCAGTTCTATACTTGGATTTTGCCTAGGCATTCGACACTGTACCTCATGATATTCTGCTTACGAAGATCAAAATTTTTGGAATTGGCGGGAAATTGCCGTCACTGATATATTCATACCTCAACAACAGAAAGCAATGCGTTAAGATTGAAGACTGTAGCTCAACCCTAAAAGAAGTCACCAGTGGAGTTCCGCAAGGTTCAATTCTGGGACCGCTGCTGTTCTTACTTTTCATAAACGATCTACCTGAAACCATGAATGACACAGACAGTTTTGGGTACGCAGATGACTTTAAGGCCATTCTACTAAATCAAACTTCCCTTGACACTGCAACTCTGAAAAAGAGAAATGGCTACATGAAAACAAAATGCAACACAACATCAAAAAATCAACGCTCCTCGGCATCAAAGGTGATTTAAAAGCTAGTCTCCCGAACAAAAATCTTTCCTCAGTAAACTCACAGCGTGACCTATGACTGATTGTGTCCAACAAGCTCACATGGAACGAAAATTGCTCTCGTCGGACATCCAAAGCAATTAGTGCTCTCTTCCAGATTAAACGAAGTCTGACTATGAAAAGCAGTGTGACCACCAGGCTTAACGCATATACTGGGTATGTAGTACCCATAGTAACATACGCATCCCACGCATGGACTCCTAGCAGATCGAACATGGAACAACTCGATCGAGTTCAAAAATTTTGGGGACAAGCAAAACCTATACTGAAAGACTGAAGGACCTGACCCTTCTTCCTTTGAACCTATACATGGAAATGCACGACATTTAAATAGTGATAGCCATGCTTGAAAATCGTTACGATGTAGAAATAGAACGAAAACCATCTGAATCATGCGAAATCACCCGATAGTCATCAAGAGGCGAATTTCAAATCTCAAAAAGCCACTTGCAAAGAACGGACGACTATTTTTTCAGACGAGTGAAACATCTATACAACTGTCTTATCCGAGCCTGCCCAACTTTTAGCCTTAGACCAAGCAAAGGGACTCGGGCCTACATATACCAGAAATACTTCAAAAAAATGTACAGTGAAGTGAACAAATGTACATGGAAACTCTTATGCAGATGTGGAAACTGCAATGTTTACAACAAACTGAGATAAAACATGGACTGTAAAAGGGGTGCAACTACCTAGAGCTAATGCTCTGAAGCCTATTCTACTACTACTACTACTACTACTCCGGGTGGATCCAGAAATTGTGATTCAGCATTGTTTCTATTAAGCGAGTTGAATGCATTACTAAATTCTAATTTAAGTAAAACTGAGCACTTCGGGTTGTCATTACGCTCTATCAAAGGCTATCACGCTCTATCGTGCAGGATAATTTAATAATTATTCAAGCATTTATCAAGAAAAAAATGAAAAGATGTTTAGCACTTAGGAGATAAAATCTTGATTTTTTAGATGGCATGATAAAATGCCGATGCTAGAAGATGCCTTGTCGAATGTACGGGTGCTGGCTGAAATCTCGATTGCCGATGCGGTGCCGGCAATTGAAGCTTACTCCACCAGCCTTCTGTATCGAGCGGATTTCGATACGAACTTTCAAGACAGGAATTCGTTTATCATGGGAAATGCCAAGTTCAACGAGGAAGCTGTCGTGCAGGCTAATTTAAACACTTTGTTGGAAGAGGGAGAGCAATATGCAGTCATGATGTACACCTGGCGATGTTGCTCCAGGGCTCAACCGTTGCCTGCCACAGACCAATATGATAAAATTGAAGTCTACCAGAAAATTATTGATGTGTATGAACCGGAAATAACTAAGTTGAAGAACTTCTACTATTTTGTTAACAAAGCTACTGAAAGGTTTATTACTGAAATAAAACGAATGTGCAGAAAAGATTTCGTGTCAGAAGTGTATTTGTGGACGCTTGGTCGGTTTATTAACATGTTTGCAGTTTTGGACGCGCTGAAGAACGCAAAAGCCTCGATTAAAAATGATCATGCTGCTTACCGACGAGCAAATCAGATCCTGAAAAAGATGAATGACAGTCAAATGATACACGAATCTCAGAACCTAACTCTGTTTCTGGCAGACAACGACAAAATTTCGAAAAGTTTGCAAACAAAACTTGAGCATATTCAAGGTGCTGAAGATTTGCTAGCTGACGTGCTGAATGCATGCTGCAACATGTACGAAAATAAACACTATGTGCTTCCAAAGGAAAAAGAAATCATGCTTAAGGTGATGGTTTTCGGGCTATACTTGCTGGACGGAATGAATATTCCAGTTCACAAACTGGAAGAAAAGAAGAAGATAAACGTTACTAAAATTGACAGATTCATTAAAAACTTACAAGTCGTTCCCATCTATGGAGACATGCAAATTGAGCTCCCCACCTACATCAAAAAGTTCAAATGTTATCACGACAATTCTGCCCGCTGGACATGCACACAAACCGGAAATGTTTGCATTCAGTCATCAATAATGGACAAAATTGCTCCAATGAGAGTAGAGCATCATGCTCTCATCGTGGAGCTGAGTAAAATTCGAAACGAGGCGCTTTTGGGCGAATATTGTGCTGCTGAGAAGCTAGACCAGAGAAATAAAGAAATATATCTGGCAGCTTTGCATTGTCTGAGGTCAGTTGCTAGCTGGAACTCAGCAATATCGGAAGTGTTTTCCTGGAAATTAGTCAACCCTTCCAGGGACAAAGCACATAAAGTTAATGATGACGCTGACACAGATTACGCTTTGGTTACAAAATATAATTACACTCCGGAGGAATGTTCTGCCATAGTTGAAGTCATTTCGATGATCAAGAGCATGCAGAAACTCATGTTTGAAATGGAAAGTATGCTCGTTGAAGCAGTCAAAGGATACACTTACTACGAACTGCAAAGTTTTGTACAGCTTGCGCTGAGAGAACCAATTCGCCAGGCGGTCAAGAGAAAGAGGTACAATTTACAGCAGCATCTGCAGGCAATCCGCGATTGCTGCGCCGACTGGAACGACAAACGGCCTCCTGTTGATGATCCGGCGTTGAAAGGCGAGAAAGATCCAAAAGGGGGTTACACGATTATTCTGCCCCGAAAGTCTGTCGGACCTTCCAGTACACAATTGTACATGGTTCGAACGATGATCGAGAGTTCCTTAAGTGAACGAGGAGCCGGAGGAGCTAAGAAGAAGGACTCGCTGAGAAAAGAACTAGAAGGCTCATGCGTGCAGACAATTGAGCAGTTCCACCAAAACAGTTACTTCTGGAGCTACATGTTGAATTTCAATCAGAGTCTATTCGACGCATGTGATTTATCCCAGCTTTGGTTCAGGGAATTCTATCTGGAAATGTCCATGGGAAAACATATCCAGTTTCCAATCGATATGTCCATGCCCTGGATCTTAGCCAGCCATGTTGTCAGTTCGGACGACTGTAGTGCAATGTTGGAACACCTCCTGGTACCATTCGATCTCTATAACGACTCAGGCACCTATGCTCTCACGAAATTCAAAAAACAATTTCTATACGACGAGATAGAAGCAGAGCTCAATCTCTGTTTTGATCAACTGATCGTAACTCTATCTGAGAAAATCTACCAGCATTACAAAGTGTTGTCTTCAAGTTTGCTCTTGGATAAGAAATTCAGAGCTGAAAAGTCTAAATTGGGTCAAGACCTTCCGTTCCCACATGGAATCAGATACGACACAATCCTTCACCAACGTCACGTGCAATTGCTCGGTCGATCAGTGGACCTGAATCGCGTCATTGGTCAGCGAATCAATTCGCTGTTCCAGCAGTCTCTAAGAGTCGCCATCCGACGGTTTACAAGCCGCGATCTACATGGTCTGGTAGAGCTGGACACATTACTCGAAGTGAATAAATTATGTCACAAACTTCTCAGCGAATTCGTTTTGCTGCCGACATTCGAAGATTTAGTCAAGGAGGCTAACAATAATATAACAGCGCCGTATGGCATAATAACTGTTCATGTTTACCATGAGATAAACCAAAGCTTACTACCAGGCTACACGTTTAACTTCAGTACACAGCGATTTGTGAAGCAGTTAGTTAGCAACGCAGGCTTGCCTCTGAAGCACCGTGAGAATCCGTTGAGTCATGTGGAATTGTTTCATCTGTTTGGGTCAGCACCGCTGAACAAAGCGTATGCACAGATATGTGATCTAAGCTCGAAGTTTATTGGCGCGGAACACATGAAGATTCTATGCAGGGTGTTGGGGTACCAAGGGATAGCTGTTCTGATTGAAGAGATTGTCAAGGAAGTGACGTCAAGTTTGGTGCCCACTGACAACCTCACAGATGTCCACCTGGCTAATCGAGTCGTTCGACTTCTGAAGGTTTGCTATTGTCATGTATTTTTCACATCACAGTTTCAGTGCAGTCTTGTTCAAGGTTGTTTAGGCGTAACTTAAACAAAATGGGATCTATCCGCTTCGTTAAAGCATACGTGAAACTGAGTCAATCGAGTAGAAGACAAATTTTTTAAGAAGCGATGAAAGTAGTCCAAACTCTTATATAGGCCGTGATGATTTGGTTCTCGTTTTTTTTTTCTTTAAGATGCTCTAATAACAAAAGAAATGCATTCATACTTATAAATGCTTGTATGAATGCCCCCAGGTATATATGCACTCAAGTTTACTTGCTATAGGGTGGGCAAAATGCTCTCTTCAATTCGTAAGCTGAAATGGTGCAAAAAAAACGTGATCGAAAGTGGAATTTAAATTTTAGATTTCCCAGCGGAAAAAAGTTTTCCTAATTAACCCAGTTTTCTGAAATTGGATTGTTTTTTTTTTATAAATACATAAAAAGTCAATAATAATTTGCTCTTGAAATACAAAGCATGAAGATATTTTTTTTTGTTCGAGATTGGAAAGTTGAAGTTTTTTCAAAAAACAAGTCATTTTTTCTGTTTCTTTGCGCTCTGCTCTGTTGGCTATGTTTATTATTACCTTCGCAACAGGCTTTTTTCTGTGAAGAACTTTGTTGTCAGGATGACTTAAAGCATCATCTCCAACTTACATCATCGCAGTCATTAAGCATGGAAAATTGCTTCATGATGCTGAGATACTGTATCTAGAGCTAAGTTTTCATGAATTTTTTCAGAAAAAAAGTTATTTTATAGGCTGTTTGTATTTCTTCGCAGTATTTGTCTTTTTAACATGACGATTGTTTCTTATCTTAATAGGCTTCTCAAAAGTGTTTTTTGAACTCTTTCAATTTTGAGCAGCGTATTTATAAATAGAGCAGCTTGGCAAGCTTTGCCTTTGTCTAAATATTTTGAGTGAAAACGAAGAACCTTCAAAAAAATAAGGTCACCAAAATTGACGGAAAAAGATTAACTCTTTTTCACTCCCCTCGCGCTACATTGCAACTTTTCAAGATTTATATTAGTTTGCCGTGCAAGTATGGCTTAATGCGTGATTACTACGATGTGAGGTATGAAAAAGAATGTGTTCATAATAATTAGTTTGTTCACAATATAAGGTTTCATTACAGTACTGCAACGCTAAAACGATTCTCAGATACATGTTTGTCTGGTTGTTGTTTATGTTTGTCTGGCTAAAGGTGTATTTAGCGTGCCAGTTTGAAGCAGTGGTTTAGGCAAGTATTTTGTAATCAGATTTGGGTACTGACACGTCCAAAGAGTCTTCAATTTATCTGTTCAAGTTTTTTTGAGTGATTAGTTGTTTTTGGCTTCGTCTATGAAGTGTTATCTCGACTGCGTTGGACTTTTTGTTTCAATATAATTAAATGGCTTTTTCTGCGCTATTTCGTGAATCTATAACTCGAGTTACTATTAGGCAGAGTTGCAAGTTGGTGTCAAAATAAGCTATATTCACATCCACACACAGTAAAACTTTTCGGAAGTGATTCTCCTACTTTTAAAGGATAAAAGCGATACAGATGACTAGTAAAAGTAGTCTCCTGAAAGTGCTGTTGATTGTTTTAAGGTGATGCCTTACGAGAACAAACTTTGCAGTTTACACGTCAAAGTAGACGAGGCACTTCATCAGTACATTCAGAGCCAATACAATCTCTTCCACAGTACCGATAGGGTCGGACTCATGCACTCTTTGAACCACCTGGGCAATGCAGTCCAGCTAGTCCAGCTGCTGGAACAGAATCTATCGCTCGAGGAAGTGGAGGACCTGATCCAGGCCTCTTTCTTCCAGATGAACATCCCGAAGCAGTTCATCAGACCGGGTGATAACAAAGAAGAGAAAAAGAAACGAGCAGAAGCCAAGTACAGAACGCACCACGCAGTCTCAGTAATCGAGAACTGCTGCTCCGAAACCGAGGCAAATATTGTACGCGAGTCAGATTTGCTCACAAAGGAACGGCTTTGTTGTGGACTGTCAGTGTTCGACACGTTCCTAAAGCGAATTGGACAGACTTTGTCGAACCATACACTATGGCAAAATAGGCAGGATAAATTAGCGGCTCTTATGAGCGGAGCGGATAACGGAGAGTTCTACCGACTATGGAGCGGGATGCAACTTTGTTACGCCATACCTCCCCCACCCATGTTTAAACAGTCACATAACTACCTCGCAGTTGACGTAATAGGAGATGGGGTCGTCTTAGGTGCATGCACTCTAATGGCACTCTGTGGCCAACAGAAAAAGTTCGAAGCCACAGACATGTGCTTTTCTCTACTTGACAATGCAGACTGTGACGACCAGCCGCTCAAAGAAATTCTTGTTCTCTCGAACTCGAGTGAAAGTATAAACATTGCGGACTTTCTGCAACGGGTGAAATCTTTCCAGGCGCTGCACACACAGTTGTTCAACATGATAAACAGATATTTGCAAGTTCCCTCTGACAGTTCCGCGGATAAAGTGCACAATGTTAACGTGTACGGCGTTCAAACTGCAACTGTTAGTCGAAACTGGTGATTCAGAATTATTTATCGAACTTAAACCAATTATTTATTAGAAATAATGTTAACATTGTAAAGAGGATTTTGCTAAATTTGCTATTTTGAAGCATGTTTTGTCCCTTCGTTTCTTACTTATTTCACTGCAATTTTCAGAACAGTTTTAACCCCAGTTGCACAAATAACCTAGAAAATAGCTGATCCAATAATTTCCTTTTCGCTATTTTCAAAATTCTGGTAATTTATAAAGTTAATAATTTATTTGCTTCCGGGTCTATTAAGAAATTTTAAAAGATTTAATTCTGGCTCTCGGATTTAAAAGACGCAGTAGATATTTGAATTTTGCTGAGTAAATTTGTTCTTCCATCAAACAGCAAATGATATTGGTGTTAGTTTTTTAAATTTAATTCATAGAAGCTTGCAGTTTGAATTCTTCTAATTTTTGTAACAGAAGTTGATTGCTCTATTTGACATTCAGCAGTAAAATTTCAATTTGGAAATTTTAGCCCACCTTGCATGTCATTTCTAAAGTATTTTTGTTTATATTTGGTTCCATTTCGAATGCTTGCAAATTTTTCTTATAATATAGTGATGGATTTAACATTTTTTTTGATAAAAAAGCACTTTAGTGTAATAAGTGGAGGAATTGACCGTGATGGTGCAATATTATTCATTAATGACATAAAGATGATGCTATGTAATATAACAACTTTATTACATAACGCTAACTTGCACCAGATTATGTAATAGCCGGACACCTTCACCATTTTTGCATCGCTGTTCTATCTTATTGTGTCTCGAATTGTGATGTGTCCCTGAAATGATATAAGCAAGCCATTAGTCAGGTGGTCATTTCATAGTAGAATAGCTGATAAACAACTTTGAATTCATTTTTCGGTATTCGTTTTTCTAAAGCAAAGAAGTGATAGTGCTGGTTTATTTTATCCAGACAAAAATTAAATAAACGTGTTTTTTCCAGCTTGCCTTATATAAGTCATTAAATAATGGATATAAATTTCATAAAATGAAAAAAACTAATTGTAACTCTGCAATGGTTTGAATATGACTTAAAAACAACTTAAAAACAAGCGAATTGGACAGACTTTGTCGAACCATACACTATGGCAAAATAGGCAGGATAAATTAGCGGCTCTTATGAGCGGAGCGGATAACGGAGAGTTCTACCGACTATGGAGCGTGATTCAACTTTGTTACGCCATACCTCCCCCACCCATGTTTAAATAGGTGGTCATTTAATAGTCAGAAAAACACGCAGAAAAAACGACACTAATTTGAAAAAAAAAAACTTTTTTTATTTTAAGACTATGGTCCGAACATTTTGCGCTACTTGCACAGTAACCGGCTATCCTTGTTTCCACTTGTTAGCGTTGCCTGATTTTTTGCAGTAATTGAACAGTCATATAAAAAGTGTTCATTTACACTAGCAAACTTTGTTATATTATCAATTCACAATTTCCTAATTAAAATAAAACTAAAAGTTCTCATTTCGGTACATTTCGAACCATAGTCATTTTAAAAGGATCTCTTCCTGCTTTTGGTGACAAGTGTTAGTTTTTTTCCAAGCGACCATGGCGCAGATGCGAGGACGTGAGACTCCTAATCTACTGGTAGGAAAAATTCAAGTCTGAGTCAGGATGATTTTTATTTTTGAAGGCATTTTTTAACGTTTTCACCTTATTTTACCTCGTTGTTTGTATAGCTATTTTATGCCATTTTTTAACAGTTATGTTTGCGAAGTTCAGCTTCATTTTTGTGTTAAACTTGTGTGTATGTAGCTAATAGTGCTAATTTAATAGAATAGGTTTTCCCGCTTCATTGGTGGCTGGTGATCGTATTAGCACATGGTGATGTGGCTCAGTTGGGGGGCTATTCTCATGCGCAAAGGACCGAATGAGCGAAAAATTTCGTGGGTGTAGGACAGAAAACAAAATTAGCCGAAAGTTAATTGTTAAAAAGAGGCAATTGCCATTCAATTAAAATGAATTAAATCAAGCAATATTTTGCTTTTTTCACAACGAAACCCTTGAAATATAAAACTTGTTCCAATACGGCGGTGATCAGTGACAATTTGAAAATGTTGCATATTTCTGCAGTTTTTATGTTCGGCCAATTTCAATATTCAGTCCCTGGAAATATTTACTTTCTTTTCAAATTTTAGAATACTGAAATCAGATTCGCTGATTTTTGTTTTGAGGCATTCGGTCCTTCGCGTATGAGGGATTACACCGCTCAGTTGGGATAGCACAACACTATAAGGTGAGGTTCGGTTGCCGTAGTACTCGATATTATTTCGTGGTAATATATTTCGTGGTTGCCGTAGTATATTTCGTGTACTCGATATTCGTAACAACAGGCTTAGTTATTACATGATCATAAGCTGTCAGTGTCAATTAAAAACAACATGTAGTCAAGGACAGAATTATGACAAATAACCAATATCGAACGACAAAAATTTTCTTGCGTGTAAAAATGTATTCAAAACCATGAAGTGAAGTTTCGTTTGCATGTTGAGCCAAAAAACTGAATGAAGCATCCCAACTTGACATTTTTTGTTACTGGTCTTTTAGAAGGATTTGATTCTCGTAATTAAACTGAAGTGGCGAAAAATGGGGCGCAAACATGATAGGTAAACATAGATTTGAATTCACCTGCTTATAATTAGAAATTATTTTGAATAAAGAATTGTGAGTTCCATTTTAATGCTCGATTTAATAATTTTTGCAATTCGTGCAACTAAAACCTTACTTCCATTTTTTTGTTAATTTCTTGCAATTTGAAAAGTGCCAATGTGAAGCTGCTAAGGACTAACTTGTGCGCTCTACGACGATGTTCTAATGATGCCAAAAATTAACGCAAAATATTAGGTGTGGCGAATTATTCAGCTCTACAAAATCGTTCCAAATTGAACTGAGAATCATGAGTTATGTCCGATGTGGTTAACCCATAGAGTAATTTCGGATAGGGTACACCGTCTGCTCGTCACGCTATCTTATTTTCGGCCGGATAGATTCGTGCAACTTCTTAGTCTAATACCGATCCTAATCTTACTCTTATACTTACTAGTCTCAGGGTGTTTAACTAGTCTCTGCTAGGCTCAATAGATCTAGGGTATACTGGTTTGTTGCGGCTGCTGAAGTTCTCTCGGAGAGACAACTAATTTCTAAGTTAAATTCAAATCTCTCTGGTGCTGAAATTACAAGTAATTTCAGCACTTACAAATAAGTGGGTTGTTAGTTAGATGGATCATGATTGGTTAATATTAAATACTTTACAGTGGTAAAATATCTAATTTATCCAATCATAAAATGTAGTTTAGATCAGGTTCCACCCATCCGGGTTTTACAGAGTTTTTTAGAATTATCTTTCTGCAATTCAAAGGATGGATGATGAACGTTGGTATTTGGCGAACATCGTATTCTTGTCCGGTTCCTCTTGTTAGAGAAGTTCCAGGACGCTGGAGTTAGGGGCATCAATCGTTGTGTCTTCTTGTGACAACGACTGTGTTTCCCAACGAAATCAATCTGATTTCAAAATGGTTTGCTATGACGGGTTTTTCTTTAATATGTAGAGAACTTGTTTTGTGTTCAACCTCGTCTGGGAATGGCGTGGAGATTGTGCGTGGAGAAGATGCCTTGTAACTCGGATCTGTACGTATACTTGAACATCGAGGTGGTCATTGGTCTAGTTCAATGAAGTCCTTTTCTGCGAAGTCAAGTCGTACTCTAAATCCTTTGAGTTGTGATTGTGGACGGCATATCGGTTGTGGTTAGCCATTCTTGTTCGAGTGTAGTGGGGTCATTTTGTCTTTGGATGTTCGTCTTTGTTGTTGTGTGCTGATCTATATACTGCAAGGTATGATTTACATTTTATAAAATTTTTATTAGTTCAGTTTTTTAATTATGAATTTAGTTAGTTGTTTTTACAAAAGCATTTTGTTTTAGTTTGGTTATTTTGAAGAGTTACTCACCCTTGAGTACCTCTTATTAAAAATACAAGTGTGGTCACAAAGCGTGGATTTAGCGCGGTGGGTTAGGCCGGCTATAGAGCATGCTCAGGACGTCCTCTCTGGTGGGTTAGGCCAGGAGTGGGAGTATGATTTCGTGCGGTTTCTTTGAGAAGTCCTGTTATGTGATAACGTTTTATGTTGGGTTTGTGTTGGTCTTTCTTATGTTCCTTTGGTTGTGTCCTTTTTTCAAAAATCAAATTGTTTTTGTTATGGGTTTGTCTTTCGACTTTTTTGTGTTTTATTATTTCTTTCTTATAATAGTCTTCAAAAGAATAAATTATCCAGTTTTAAACTGGGTTAATCCGGTTTGGGTACCGTTGGTTTTCTTTTCTTAGTCATGCTGTTATTTTATGATTTGTTGTGTTTAGTAAGCTGCGTTGGTTAGTTTGGTTTAGTATATAATTCCTTTCCAACCGGGTTAAAGGAAAGTTTGAAACTTGTTATCGTGTGTTAGAGTTGTTGAGTGTGAAAACTTGAAACTGAAATTCATTATTTCAACAATTCTTCGTGGGCGAGCTGTGCGAGTTTGGATAGAATTCCTGTGCGAATGAATGAAAATATCAAAAGGTTAGTACTGCATTTTCATTTTATCAATTTATTACATAGAACTTCAATTTTATTGCTAGTTTTGGGGGAAATTTAAAGTTATAAATTTTCATCATATTTAAATTTACTGCTTTATGGGGGAATAATTTATAAATTAATTTACTACATTTGGTATAAATTTTATCAGATTATCTTGTGGAAAATATTAAGGAAGTTTGGAATAATTTTAACAAGTTTTTATTTTTTATTTTTCTTTTCTGTTTTTTGCAGATGATCGTGGTATGGAGACTAAAAATCTAAAAGAAACATGAGTAAAGAATGGTTAGTATTAATTTAAATTTATTAGTTAAGAATATTTGTAAATTATACTTACCTGTTAATCGTCTGGGAAAAAACCGTGGGGAAAGATGTCGTGTATCATGTCTGAATTTGTTAGTAATTTTGCTAGTATGCGAATGATGTTTTTAGTTTGGAACAGTGGCCAAAGCAATTGAAGTGCTTTAATAGTTTTTAGTTCTTCGGTGCCTACTGCAAACTCATAAGGTGTGTTTTGAATGAGATTATCTATTTTGTGATTGTATTTAATATTGTGAATAAATTCTAATATAGGGATTTCTATAGGTTGGATAAATTCATGTGGGATAAGGAAGGGTCTGGATTCTTCGGCATTAAAGGTCTTCATGATGGGACAAAATATATACATTTGTGTTATTGGGTCGTAATTGCGGAGGATGCCGTGGAGGTTAGTATCTTTGATGCAATAGGTGAAATTTAGAAAAAATGGTGAAGTGTACTTCGAGTTAAGAAACTGAAAACGATGGTGTGGTTGTCTTGATGGAGTATGTAGATCAAAATGATTTTGTATGAAGCGATAGTATGTATATGTGTGAGTTTGTTTAGTGCGTAACATAATGTCGTGTGAACAGTGCAAATTGCGTTCATGTGGTGCAAGGAAGTGAAAGGTTAGTGAAAATAATTGAAATTTTTCTTTAAAACTTTCGTAAGCTTGCATATCAGTTAGTGCTTCAGAAATGATGTGATCACATTTCCTATCAAAAATATTAAGTGTGAATACATATGATGTTTTGATGAAGAATTTTTCTGTTAGTTGTGGGTTAGCGAAGCGGTCGTCATCTAAATATTGGTCTTGATTAGTTCGGATGATATTATGGTCGTAATATTCTATTGTAAATTCGTTAGCTCGGGGTGCAGTGAATGTTTTTAGTGATTTTTAATATCCTATATAAGTAAATTGTCTATGTGTTAGTGTTGTGGTGAGTCGATACAGCATATCTTTATTCCTTTCTATATCGTTATGAGTATTAGATA